TTTCTCAGCCTGTTGGCTTAAGGGCCATCAGATGTCCAGAGTGACCAGGGGAAGTCTGAGCTTCTAGTTCAATGGAATGTTTCTTATATCTCCTGGCAGGAATGCTTCCCCCTCTGGAACCAAAACTTCCAGAACTTAAGGTCATCATCAGGTAATTTTTTTTTTTTTTTTTTTTTTTTTTTTTTTTTTTTTTTTAGTCGATCACTGGTGTTGATTGTGAGTAGAACTATTCCAGTTCCCAACTCTTGAGTCCTGTACCTATGGATCCTGGTTATGAGAGAAACCATACCATATAATGGATACTGACTCAAAGCATATACAACTTCCTGGAGAACCTTGCCCTCCAGACTGCTGCCACCTAATTGGCACTGTAACTTTGTCTTCAAAAGGCCATTCTATCTTTCTAGTAGGCAAGATGCTTCAGGAAGGTGGGAAACATGGTAAAACCGCTGGGTTCCATGATCTTGGACCCACTGTCACACCTCAAAGTGTGTGACAAATTGAGTTCCTTTGTTAGAAGCAATACTGTGTAGGATATCAATGCTGTGGATAAGACATTCTGTACATCCATGTATAGTGTTTTTGGCCAAAACATTACATGCAGGAAAGGCAAATCCACAACCAGAATAAGTATCTACTTCAGTAAGAACAAAGTGTTGTCCATTCCCTGAAGGAAGTTGCTGTGGGATATTTGATCACAAGGTGAACACTGAGATTGCATTATTTAAATAAAATCAACCATAGGTCAAGAGGTGGAGCAAGCAACCAGTTGAATGGAAGTAACCATAGAGAGTGAGGGGAAGCCAGGATGTCAGAGAGAAGGGGGGGGCACAGAAAGTAGAAGAGAGGACATCCACTCAGAGGAGTTTTGTGTCAGACAGTGTAAGAGAAAAGTCTCTTTTTGAGACATTGGCAGAGGAGGAAGGTCAGCCATCTGCTTTTTTCTGCCTCTCTGAGCTAGCATTTTTTCACCCCAGCATCTGACTCCCTACTCTTTATTGGTAAAATAAAAAGATAGAGACTTAGTCAAAAAGCAACAGTTGCCTCCCTATGTGGAGGTAGCTGAGGCAGCAGCAGAGGCAGCAGTGGTGGGGTATGTCTCCTTTGGTCCTCAGCCTCAGCAGCTGAGGTAGTGGTAGATTCAGGTGCAGCCACTGTGCTTCAGACAAAAAACAGGAAGTGGTCCAGTGTAGTTACCTGTCACCAAGTCACTGGCTCATCACCCCTGGGGAATGGTGCCATATCTAGGCTGTATTGGTCTCTTCTATTGGCATATCTGTCATTTATCTGTAACCAGGTGAGTGGCAATCCATGTTGTCAAGTCCATGCATAGCCCCCATCTCTGTCACCATGGCCAGTTTGTTCATGGGCCCATTTGGAAATGACAGGAATGGCTGGGGAAAGAGACTACTATCCACAGAATGTGCCACCCAATCTATTTGATTATTGAACTTCTCCTCAGTTGAGGTAACCTTTTGATGAGCATTTACATTAGACATACATATTTTCATATCCTTTGCCCGTTTTGGGGATATCTACCCACATAGTTCTTTTTCAGATGTTTTTCCTCACCATTTTTCCAATCATGATCTTTCCAAGTCCCTGACCATCCAGCCAATTCATTTGCTACAACCCATGAATCACTGGTAATCTCTCCTTCTAAACAAATTGTATTACTATGTGTACTGTCCCAAGTTCTGCCCACTGTGAAGATTTCCTTTCAGCAATGTCCTTCAGGCTTGTCCCAGAAAGGGTTTGAAATGCTGCAGCTATCTGATTTTGGATGGTGCCTGTATGATGAGCAGAACCATGGGCAAGCTAGGCCTTAGTCTTCTCTTTCTCAGTTAGCCTTTCACAGTGCACATCTCATGTGGCTATACACACATGTTTGGCAGCAGATGGCATTGTAACAGAAATAGAATCCATAACATTTGGGCAGTGTCTTCATGTAGCCCTAGGATTGTAGATGTGGGCAACCATGCTTCTTTACACCCAGATGGTGGGTATCTGAACTCAAGTCCATATGATTGTGTGGCAGGGACTTTACCAATTACACCACTTATCTGTTCCCTCCACTCCATTGTTTTCTTTTTGTTGGCTTAACCTTTACAGTTCTGCCATTTCTGTTTGTTCTTTCTCAGAGTCTCAATTTGCTTGTTGAATTTTTCGGTCAAGTTTTTACTTTCTTTTCCAAGTTCCTGAGGTTTTATTTAGTTTGGTTAAGTTTCTTTTCTGGGTCCTGAATTGGTTTCTTTATTTCATTTCAGGTTGAGCCCTTCATGTTGGACACTGCTTTTAAAAATAGGATTGTAGAGACAGACATCCATAGAAATACACTGAGCTGAAATCTGGAATCTAGTTGAAGAGAGGGAGGAATGAAGATCAAAGGGGTCTGTACCAGGTTGGAGAAACCCACAGAAACAGTTGGCCTGAACAAGGGAGAGCACATCGACCCCAGATGCTATCTGGGAGGCCAGTACAAGACTGATCCAGCCCCCTGAACATGGATGCCAATAAGGAGGCCTCTGCACTCCAGGGAGCCTCTGGAAGTGGATTAGCATTTTTCCCTGGTGTAAGAAGGGACTTTGAGAGCCCATCCCACGTGAAGGGATACACTCTGGCTCTGGACACATGGGAAAGGACCCAGGCCCAGCACAGGAAGATTTGGTGGACTGGGGGAGGAGGGATGGGGAAGAGGGGAGGGAGAGGGAGAAGGGACTTAGATGTGAAACAAGCGCTACTTGAATTAATAAAAATATTATTAATAAAAAATAAAAATAAAAATAGGATTTTTCTGAAATATTTTTCTGGCATTTCAGCTATTTAATTATCATTTGCTTGCTATATTAAGGAGTTGTGAACTTGTAGAAGTGTTGTGGATGGCTTGTTGCCTCATGTATTTTTCTCTGTCACATTTCAAACATCTGTTGTGATGGATGTGCCCATTTTTACATTTTTTCCAATTTAAAAATTACTTTGTTTTATTTTTTGTGAGTCTTCATGATGTCTCAGTTTGGATTATTTTCTCCAGTGTTAGTTAGGGGGGTCAACTAACTCTGTAATGACAAATACAATGATTTAATATTAGTCCTGGCATTAACTTTCAGTATAACACAAATGTACTTCATTTATGTCCCAGTACAGATATAAGAATAATATAGTTCCTTGCCCCAGGAAGGTCTCTTTCCAGGTGAACCCTTCAAGAAACTCTGTCAAATTCTGTAGCACACTCCCTGAATTATTGAGTAGCTTCTCCAGGCAGGGGAATCAGTGGTGTTTTCTCAGGCAACAATCCCTGGAGTCCCCATTGAGAATCTCAATTTCAAGCTACCATGACACATTTCTGACTCTTTTTAAATACGGTTAATCAATCGAAAATGCTAAATATCTAGTTTATTTACTCTTGGTTGACTAGTTTCCTTGATTATAACCTTCTTTAATACTTAAGCACAATAACACTCTGTATAAACAGAGAAACCACTATATTTACATTCACATTCCAATTATACTTATTGTTCTATTTTGACACACTGTCTCATTGAAACACTACAAATTACATTCAATGGCCATTTTAATACTTAAATGATTGCAAAGATGAGAAACTTAAAATACATGTTATATATGACAGCAAAAAAAATTCAGGAAGAAGTTTCTAATTTAAGTACCCAGCCATAAGACCTTCATTACTATTTAGCAATTCTGTTTGCTTTGGCTACCATTTTAGTCGTCAGCTAGACTTATTAACTGATTTATTGACCAGAATGTTTCTGATAGTTTTCGAGCTCTTGCTTGTTCATTTTTTGCCATTGTATATGGTAGTATACGACCATTCTCCACCTTATTTTCAGGTCCCCCTCTGTATGATTCCTTACTTTCATTGACTGGTCCCTTGAACATATCCCAGAGTTGTTAAAAGTTTTGGTCTACTACAGGACTAATACAAGTCAAAAAACCCCAACTAAACAGTAACATGTTTTTGCCTGATTACACATGGTATAAGAATCTAATATTACCATGTAGAATCCTAAAATTCAAACTAATTGAATCTAAAAATTAAAAATCTTTCAAACCAGTTTTATTTTTAATTCCTTCCGAGCATGCTAAAATCTTTAAACTGTCATAGACCAGAGTCAGGAAAAGAACATGATAAAAACTTCATGAGTGGTCATTGAATGCAACAGTGAGAAGCATTGTCTTCTTGATTCTTGACTATGTGATATATGCATGAGAGAAAGCATCAAATATTATTGTTTTGATTAAGGAAAAATATATGTATGTCGCCCAGCATGACCCCAGCTTTCAGTGTCTCTTAGTTAGTTTTAGAACTTAGTCTTTGGTAGATTGTTACAGCGTTTATAAATAGACTATGATAAGGTGCCTATTAAGAAGAATATCATCAATATAGGGATTAAGTTAATTGTCTTGCCTCCTCTTCTGGGTAGTAAGTTGCTTGGCTAGGATAGTGTTATGGGAATCCACAACAACATTCAGGTTTTTCAACAAATCTGCAGATACTGGCGTTGCCAGGGACAAAGAAAACAAATCTAAGGTCATAATAATCTATTAGTGAGGACAGAACTGTGGCAGTGCTAACTTCCTAATGCAGTAATTAGTCTGTCAGGCTGCTCACCAAAGATACCCTCCAATGTATACCCTAATAACCCTCCATTTGGGTTATTAGGGAGTGTGTGCACAGAGGAGCACAGACATGAGAACTGGGTGGTAGCAGTGGCCATATGCAGCTCTAAAATCCCAGTTGCATATGAACACTCTCCCCTTCTGTCCTGGTGCTCTTATGTTCCCAGTAAGCTCTGGCTTGACAGTTAGGCTCTCTTGTTTACCTAAGATTTTCCTTCTCTGATCTTTGATGTCTTATTTAAACAGGATGCAAAATGCCCCTAGTCTTGACTAGTTATTAGCATGTTACACACAGCCATTCATAAAGCAAGATTGAACTGTTTTCCAGCATCAACCTATTATTCACATTGAATTTGTACTGAATGAAGAAAGTCAGGGTAGCAGAAGTGTGGGGGACCGAATATCTCTGTTATGGAATATTTCGGGTCCCAGGCTCTGGCTGCCATAAACAGCAGTGGCGGTACCAGGAAGCGCTGGGTCACCATTGTATTGTTAATTAACACTAGGCTGTTACTGTTTACCTTGGCCTAAGGTGATATGCCTCCTAATTTGCATCTCTGTAGCTTAAGCCTTGAATAGGCCCTCACCTGGGCAGAGGAGAAAGGTATGAGTAACTTGGGAGGACAGAAAGTGAGGAGTTAAGAGACTCACTGCCAGAGCATTGTGAAAACAAAGAGAGAAATGGTTGCCTCGTGGTGTTGGCAGGGTGGTTAAGAAACACCAGAAAAGATGGCTAATAAAGAAATGACTCTAGTTCCACAACATGGAACTGAGAGCTCTCTAAAGATGACAAGATGCCTGTGTTTGATCTTTATTGACGTTGGGTCGCTGGGAGCTTCCAGGTCCACAACCCCCAACCAGGCCGGACCTCATGGCTGTTGTGGGTTAAAGCTGAGACAAGCTGGGCCACGACATAGAAGAAAGCATGGGAATGTACTTGTGTCACATACTCCTTACTCCTGGACTGATTCAAGATACTTCTGGATAACGGAAATGAAAGGATGTGTCTGTCACAGTGGTTCTCACCTAAGGATAATTTTATTTTACAGATTAAAAGTTTTCACAATAAGTGAATATATATGCTTTTATCAAAAAATCAACACAAAGATGCATTTACAAGGGCCTTTAGCTTGCTTGCTTCCAGAAGGGAGAGCATAAACACTACTCAAGTTATTCAACAGTGCTCTTGCTTGTTTGGCAGCTCAGACTTCTGTGGCTATTTCAAATTCTGAGTTCTGCTGGGCAAGCAGGAACACTTGATATTATAGTGTTGATTGGTTCAGTGATGACCCATAGATGAGGAAACAAATTATTTCAATACACTGGGAGTCAGAATCAATATGAACAAAAAGGAATTGCTTCCACAGTATAGTCTCCTACTGTATTCAATACTCAAACATTACGACTTTATGTGAGAAGAGATACAAACACCTTAGAAATAAAGATTTTTGTAACCTGCTGGGTTAAAAAAAAAAATCAAAAAAAAAAATCCCACATTTTAGAATGCTGGCTCAGAGTTCAGAAACCTTATAAAAGATATTGGGTAAATTAAGTCAAATTGTAACCTAGTGTTGTATAGACAGTTTCAAAATGTTTGTAAACTCACACACCTGTGTACACCTGATTTTTTGACAAAGAAGCCAAAATTAATACAAAGGAATAAAAGAAAGTATCTTTAACAAATGTTGCTGGTCTAATTGGATGTCAGCATGTAAAAGAATGCAAATAGATCCATATCTATCACCCAGCACAAAATTCAAATCCAAGTTGATGAAAGACCTCAACATAAATTCAGGTACACTGAAGATGATAGAAGAGAAAGTGGGGAATAATCTGGAATGCATTGCTACAGGAGAACACTTCCTGAACTAAACACCAATGACCAGGCACTAAGATTGATAGTTAATAAATGGGATCTCATGAAATTGAAAAGTTTCTGTAAAGCAAAAGATACCACTGTCAAAAGGACAAAAGGGGCATTTGGGCCCTACTGAGCCGCCATACCTCCTGCCTCGGCTCCCCACATCCTCGCCACCGTGGCCGAAGTGGAGGAGGGCGAGGAAACCTGTGTCTTGTCCTCACACACTGGGACTGCATGCTCCAAGTCGGGGGACGACAAGATGTTCTCTCAAGAAGTGGAACGTGTTGGCCATGTGGCGCTGGGACGTTGAGTGTGATACCTGCGCCCTTTGCAGGGTCCAGGTGATGGATGCCTGCCTCAGATGTCAAACAACAGGACCGTGTTGTGGTCTCGGGAGAATGTAATCATTCCTTTCACAACTGCAGCATGTCTTTGTGGGTGAAACAGAACAATCGCTGTCCTCTCTGCCAGCAGGACTGGGAAGTCCAAAGAATCGGCAAATGAGGGTAGTAGAAGGCTTTCCTGGTGTGGTTGTGACCCTGGATGATCTTGCTGCCAAGTTACTGGACGAAGGCTAGAACACTCCAGCGGATCAGTTCTTCAGATAGAAAGGGTGAAGTCTTTTGAGACTCATCCAGGGCATGGCTTAGCATTTTGTCAGTTTAATTTTGAGAAGTTGTCTACAAGAAAGATAATTTATTAAAAATGGCCTTTCCTACCTCTGTGGTGTGTGTCATACATACTGCTTAGAAGAGCTGTAAGAGAGAATGCCAAAAAGGTCTGTGAGAGAGAGCATTGCATTTACCTTACAGAAGAGAATTTCTGTGTTTATGCCTGATTGGTTTTGTTATAGTAACAAATAAAATGTGTTTCGAAAATCCAACTCCTACCTTCTGCTTCTAATACTTTTTGTTGGGAGAGGGGCAGCCCATGGTATCTTTATTTGCTGTAAGTGGCGATTTTGATTTAGATCAGTGAAGAATATAAATAAAATGTAACTTTCAGAAAAAAAAGGACAAAAGGGCAGCCTACAGAATGGGAATAGATCTTCAACAACCCCATCTCCAACAGAGGATTGATTTCTAAACTATATAAAGAACTCAAGAAACTAGATATCAACAAACCAAATAATCCATCCAATTTTAAAAGCACAATTTTCAGCAGAAGAATCTCAAATGGCTGAACAACACTTAAGGGAATGTTCAACACCCTTAGTCATCATGGAAATGCAAATCAAATGACTCTGAGATTCCATCTTACATCTGTCAGAATGGCTAAGATAAAAAACACAAGCCACAGCTCATGCTGGAAAGGATGTAGAGCAAGGGGAATTAACCATTGCTGGTGGGAGTGCAAACTCGTACAGCTACTTTGGAAGTCAGTGTGGCTGTTTCTCAGAAAATTGGGAATCAACCTACCACGTGACCCAGCTATCCCAATCTTGTAGCTCAATTATTACCACAAAGACACTTGCTCAACTATGTTTATAGCAGCTTTATTTGTAATAGAGCCTGGAAACAACCTAGATGCCTCTCAATTGAGGAATGGGTAAAAAAAAAAAATGTGATACCTTTACACAATGGAGTATTACTCAACTGTTAAAAACAAAGACACCAGAAAATTATCAGGCAAATGGATAAAACTAAACAAACAAACAAAAAACAAACAAACAAAAGATGTCCTGAGTGAGGTAACAAAGACCGAGAAAGACCAACATGATATGTACTCACTTATAGGTGGACATAAGCTATAAAATAAAGGATAACTATGCAACACTCCACAGACCCAGAGAGACAAGGTAACATTAAATTTTGATCTTCATACATGTATATATCTGTACATACATGAGCCTAGTGAAATCATGGATGTTGGAGGAGAGCATACAAAACTAGATTTTAACGTTTAAAATCAATAACAAAATGTTCATTTTGTGTTAACCCTCCAACAGTACTTTTTCACGTTTTTTTGTGTCTTTTGTATTTGTGTGTATTTGTGTATGCTCATGTATGTACAGGTGTATACATGTATGGAAATCAAAATTTAATGTTGGGTGTTTTTCTCAATCATTATCCACCTTAGTTTTTAAAATTTTATTTACTCAATATATGTGAATATGATGGGGGATGACCTTCTGTATATACGTTTCTCTTATTGGTTGATGAGTAAAACACTGTTTGGCCAGTGAGACAGGAATATAGGCAGGACTAGGAGATGAGGAGAATTCTGGGAAAGGTAGGCAGAGAATGCCGGAAGGAGTCGCCATGTGGGGGTCAGGAAGATAGGATGTGCCACACATTCTCTGGTAAGATAAGGCCATGTAGAAATACATAGACTAGTAGTTATGGGTTAATAATTAAGAAAGAACTAGCTAATAAGAAGCCCTAGTCATCTGGGTGTGGTGGCACACACCTTTAATCCCAGCACTTGGGAGGCAGAGGCCAGCAGATCTCTGTGATTTCAAGACCAGTCTAGTCTACAGAGTGAATTCCATGACAGGCAAAGCATGTCTCAAAAATAGAAAAATAAAAGTAAAAGAAATAGAATAATAAAGAAGCCACATAAAGATGGAAAATACACAGAGAGTCTGGATACTGTATGTTATTGCATTGTCTTTGAATTATTTGATTGCTGAGGAAGGAGCAACAACTGCTAAAAGACATTTGATTATAAATGCTGCTGGATTAATCCAACTTATATATTTTTAAAATGCCTTGAATTCTAAATTTAAGTCTAAGGACATGTTACTTTGGAAAAGAGATTTTGTTTGTGTTTCCACAGAAAATGAAAAGCTGTGGATTCCTTCCAGACTAATGTGTTTGATTAAGTAAGCCCACCTGAAGCAGTGGCCTAGGTGATCCAACATCTAAAGCAGCTGAGAGGACACAGCCACAGACTACTACAGCCAGAATTTGGACATATTTCTGTGTTTTCTAAGGATCCCCATGGTATTGACAGCACCCCCAAACAGCAGGAAGCAGTTTGGAGAGAACAATGCCCAAATTCCCAAATATTGTTTATAAATGTTTGTTTTCATTTAAATTAGGATGGTTATAAATGGTTAATGATCACAGTCAATCTCTTTTTAAAAGAAAAAAAGGAGAATATGATATAGAAATGAATACTTTGTGTTGGTATGGGTTTTGGTTTATTGATACAAATTTAAGTTCAATTTTGTTGTATGTATATTTCTTCTCTTATTTAGATATTGTGTTTATGCAGCTTATTTTAAAATGTAATATATAATTAAATGCAGATTACATATAATCACCTAAAATAGTCAAAACTTATGTTAGTTAGGTTTTCTAGATATACAGAGATATATTTGAGATGGATAGAGAGTCTTCAAACCTTTGAAAGACCTTCAGAATATGACATTTAATATGGTTAGGGTTTTTCATGGCAAAGAGACACAACTGCTCCTAGCAACACCAATTACATCAAAAAGGAGGATGGGCATCAAAGAAACATGATATGGAGTTGCTTTCAATATGTCAAGACTAGCCATTTGGGCAAGAAACTGCTCTTGCCTGGATTGGCTGTATGCTGTATAAACTGGACATACAGGACCCACAGGAAAGTTACTGCTGAACTTGGAAAACAAAATGGAACAATCCTACAGGGTTCCTGCTTCATGGAAAAGTCTGCTAGACATTCTGCAGGACACAGAGAAAAATGACTGACAAACTGACAAACAATACAGGTGGGACAGTTTCAAATTTCTTGGTTCACTAAGAAGTCTGCCAGATACACTAGGCCTGTAGGCTGAATATGGATGCCCCAACATTATAGAAGAACTTCAGGTGACTGTTCAGGCAGTGAGATGTCTCTGCCAATTCTAGAGTTTATATACTATCCTTCTGAGGTCTTTGATGGAGTTAAAGACAAATAGTTATGGTTATGGCTTTCTTAGTTATGATAAAAGATAAGTTACATATAAAACTTTAGATTCATAAAGATAGGTTAGAAGATAGAATATTTTCTTTAAATTTTGCCAAATGTTTAAGGGTTAAATATTGTTAACTATAGTTCTTACTTGATAACTGTTTTGTTGTATATAATTTTACTATGTTAAAGTTAAAATCCTTCTTTTTATTTAGACAGAAAAGAGGAGATAATGGGGAATGTACTTCTGTATATATGTTCATAAATATATATGAACCACCTGGCTACTCTTTCGAAAAAAAAAGAAACATTTCCAACTCATGCTGGAAAGTTAGACTTGTATTGAGTACAAGTTCTTGGTTTGAAAATTTAAGGGAGAGCATAGAGTGTGAAGTCCTCAGGGAAGTAATAAAAATATTATATCGAAAAGAGTATGCATCAGATATGGGAAGGGTAGTCATTATTGGTTTAAAAAGTAGCAAAGGAAATGATTAAAATGCCTTGTGTAAGTGTCCATCATAAGAATAATAAAGGCTCCTTTAGTTAAGTGGTGGGCTTAGACTTTAAAAACTTTCTCAGTATGTTGCAAATTTATGAGATAGGGCTTCTACCTGAAGCTACTATGTATTAAAAAGTCTACAGCATTGATGAACATTTGTATCACCAGACAGATGCTGTAGTCTTATGGGGTGATTCTTCAGAGATCATTAATCCCAGGAAGACAGAACTGTGGAAAGTAATGAAGATTTGTTTTGCATTACTGGTAAAGGAGTATGGAACTCGATGAACTATTTATCTTTTAGTGTTTTTCCCTGGCAGCTTTTTCTTTCCAAAGAAATTTAATAACACTGTTTCCTTGGCACCTCTGCCAGCACAGCACTCCTTTAGCCCCGGTTCTGGAAAGCATCTTTGTTTTATACTTGTTAATGTAAATGTAAGTGTTGAGAGGGTCCCACTGTAGACTCAAACCCAGAAGTTGGTGGCTTGGGGTGAGCTTCAAAGAAGACCTGATAGTCAATCTCCTGTAATATCTGGAGAAGAGGGGAATTTCTTTTTTTTTTCTTCCATTCATTTATTTAGCTCATAAATAAAGTCATGCACAATTATGATACACAATACAGTATGTTCACAATGGCATGGCTAAATTAAACCAATTAACATGTTATATCACACATATTCATCATTTTTGTTTTGAGAACACTTAAAGTATACTATCTCACAACATTTAAAATATAGCATATTGTTATCAACCATATTTATCATGCTCTCAGTAGAAAGAGGGGAATTTCTAAAAATACTTTGAAATTAAAAACAAGATTCTGGCCCTTTCCGTGGACTCACCGCAGACCAGAGTCCTCATCCAGTGGCTGATGAGAGCAGAGACAGACATCCACAGAAATACACTGAGCTGAAATCTGGAACTCAGTTGAAGAGAGGGAGGAATGAAGAACGAAGGGGTCTGTACCTGGTTGGAGAAACCCACAGAAACAGTTGGCCTGAAAAAGGGAAAGCATA